TCAGGAACTCTGACATTCCAGGGCCAGGCTGAACCTGTGCTCAGACATTTTTGAACAGATTCTGATCATCATTGGGACTCTTCCTTCTCCCCTTTGTGTAGCGGAATCATGGAATAGTCCAGGCTCGATGAGGCCTTGGATGTCATTGCCTCAGTCCCCCATRCAAAATAGGGCAACCTTGGAATTCAGAGTCAGAATCATGGAATGTCCTGAGYTGAAAGGRGCACACAAGGATCATCAAGTCTGGCTCAAAACACCCCAAGAATCCCACTATGTGCCTAAGAGCATTGTCCAAATSCCTACAAAATTGTAGGAAGTTGCTCAGGCCCATCCACTCAAGTTCTGAATTCTGATTTAGTTTTTGGAGTGTGTTTGGGTAAGGCCAGAGATCATGTCCTTGCTCTGTTTTTGTGTGTCTTGTCAGTTTGTCTAATTAAAAAACTTCCTTCTTTTCCATGGYTTGTTGGCAGTTGTCAGTTTACCCCTATGGRTTCCTGGTTCACTCATGGATTTTGGGGAATAGTTTCCTCCCCCTGTAGTTCTACTCATCCAATCTTCTGTTATGCATCCTAGTAAAGAGAGATTTCTTTCTTACTGATGGCAGTTCTGTTTTTTCGAAGGAGATTTTGGATGGTTTTGTCTTTGATGTAAGGAAAGCTGAGCTCCTGTGAGCCCCCTCCAGCTGTACCTCAGCAGCTGTTCCTGTTTTGTGCCTGTTTCCCAGGATTTTCAATTCCTGCCCTTTCAGAAGTTGTCACACCTGGTTGTGTTTAACCCTCAGTTTAACATAAATCCTCATTCCTGACGATTCTAAACCTGAGGTGTTAAATCTGTACGAATTCTGGGGTAGTTTTGGGAGCCTGTGTTAAATTGTCTGACCTTTGGGGTGTGTGGCTGGAGGACGATTGAGGGGTGGTTGGAAACTTTCCTTTTGCAACACACMCATTTCTCTCTGTTCTTAGGAACTGTCAGGTCAGAGCAGCACAGAAAACACCAAAATGGAGGTGAGTTCTGGAACTGGAGGAGGGTGGGAATCACAGGGGCTGTGGGTGGGAGATGGGGTCATAGTGTGGGAGGGGGAGATGGGGTCATAGTGTGGGTGGGAGATGGGGTCATAGTGTGGGATGGCTGGGGAGGAGAATGGGAATCACAGGGGCTGTGGGTGGGGAGATGGGGTCATAGTGTGGGTGGGGAGATGGGGTCACAGTGTGGGTGGGGAGATGGGGTCACAGTGTGGGATGGCTGGGGACGAGGGTGGGAATCACAGGGGCTGTGTGTGGGAGATGGGGTCACAGTGTGGGAGAACTGGGGAGGAGAATGGGAATCACAGGGGCTGTGGGTGGGAGATGGGGTCATAGTGTGGGAGGGGGAGATGGGGTCATGGTGTGGGTGGGAGATGGGGTCATAGTGTGGGAGGGCTGGGGAGGAGAATGGGAATCACAGGGGCTGTGGATGGGAGATGGGGTCATAGTGTGGGAGGGGGAGATGGGGTCACAGTGTGGATGGGGAGATGGGGTCACAGTGTGGGTGGGGAGATGGGGTCATAGTGTGGGAGAACTGGGGAGGAGAATGGGAATCACAAGGGCTGTGGGTGGGAGATGGGGTCACAGTGTGGGTGGGAGATGGGGTCACAGTGTGGGTGGGGAGATGGGGTCACAGTGTGGGTGGGGAGATGGGGTCATAGTGTGGATGGGGAGATGGGGTCATAGTGTGGGAGAACTGGGGAGAAGAATGGGAATCACAGGGGCTGTGGGTGGGGAGATGGGGTCACAGTGTGGGAGGGGAGATGGGGTCATAGTGTGGGAGGGCTGGGGAGGAGGAGGAGGAGAGTGTGGGGTGGGTGGCAGAGCAAGGATTGCAGTGACCTGGGCAGGGGCTGTGGCTGGGGGACCTGTGGGCAACCTGGGGTTGCTGGGTGGCCCATGGCCAGTCTGGGGTTCCTGGGTGGCCCATGGACACTCTGGGGTTCCTGGGTGGCCCATGGACAGTGTGGGGTTGCTGGGTGGCCCATGGACAGTCTGGGGTGGCTGGGTGGCCCATGGACAGTCTGGGGTNCTGGGTGGCCCATGGACAGTCTGGGGTTCCTGGGTGGCCCATGGACAGTCTGGGGTTCCTGGGTGGCCCATGGACAGTGCTGTTCCTGGGTGGCCCATGGACAGTGCTGTTCCTGGGTGGCCCATGGACACTCTGGGGTTGCTGGGTGGCCCATGGACACTCTGGGGTTGCTGGGTGGCCATGGACAGTCTGGGGTTCCTGGCCCGTGGACAGCCTGGGGTGGCCCATGGACACTCTGGGGTTGCTGGGTGGCCCATGGACAGTCTGGGGTTGCTGGGTGGCCCATGGACAGTGCTGTTCCTGGGTGGCCCATGGACAGTCTGGGGTTGCTGGGTGGCCCGTGGACAGCCTGGGGTTGCTGGGTGGCCCATGGACAGCCTGGGGTGGCCCCTGGACAGTCTGGGGTTCCTGCGTGGCCATGGACAGTCTGGGGTGGCTGGGTGGCCCATGGACAGTGCTGTGGCTGGGTGGCCCATGGTCAGTCTGGGGTTCCTGGGTGGCCCATGGACACTCTGGGGTTCCTGGGTGGCCCATGGACAGTCTGGGGTTCCTGGNCAGTCTGGGGTTCCTGGGTGGCCCATGGACACTCTGGGGTTCCTGGGTGGCCCATGGACAGTCTGGGGTTCCTGGCCCGTGGACAGCCTGGGGTGGCCCATGGACACTCTGGGGTTCCTGGGTGGCCCACGAGCAGTGTGGATCTTGCAGGTGGCCGCACACAGCCCTGGGGGACAGCACAGCCCTGAGCAAAGGTCTTTCCGTGAGAGGCAGAAGTATTTTGAGATCGAGGTGAAGCAGCAGCACCTGGACAAGCCTCCCAAGCGTGTGTCCCTGGTGGGGGAGGATGACCTGAAGAAGATGAAGGAGGAGGAAGGTATGTAGGAATATCTGCACAGCAATTTGTCCTGTTCACTGATCCCTTTCCTGTGGAAATGCAGCACTTCCAGAAGCCCATGGGTGGTTCTTGTAAGGCCTGGGAATMATTTGAAGTAAATGAATGTTGAAGAATTCTGTGGATGTTCCACTGATACTTTCTTGGGTTGGTGGAAGTGCTGTAGTTTCAAGGTGTTCTGTATCATGGAATCACAGAATTGTTTGGGTTGGGTGGACTTTAAAGCCCACTCTGTCCCACCCCCTGCCATGGACAGGGACACCTTCCACTATCCCAGTTTGCTCCAAATCCCATCCAGCCTGGCCTTGAACACCTCCACGGTTGGGGCAGCCACAGCTTCTCTGGGCAGCTGTGCCAGGACCTGACCACCCTCCCAGGGAGGGATTTCTGCCCCAGATCCCAACTAAACTCCCCCTCTGGCAGTGGGAAGCCCTTCCCTCTTGTGCTCTCACTCCAAGCCCATGTTCAAAGCCCCTCTGCAGGTCTGGAGACTTTGTAGGAACTGAAATCCTGCACAAGTTCTCCCTGCAGCCTTCTCCTCTCCAGGGTGAACAATTGCAGCTCTCCCAGGCTGTGTCCAGAGCAGAGGGGCTCCATCCCTCAGAGTGTTCCATCCCCCTCCCCTGGATCACTGCAGCAGCTCTGTGAGTGCAGCTGTGAACACTGACATTGCTAAAGCACTGCAGACTGTGGGTCTGGCAGATGAGTGACACCGTGACACCCTCACAGGGCTGGCAGCAGAGCTCTTGGAGCTCTCAGAGCTCTCAGTTTTGATATAATTTCCTCCTGCATGAGAGTTGTTTTAGGAGGTGATGAGGAACAATGTGAAGTGGAAAAAAGGGCTTTTACTGAACTCTCCAGCCACTCCTTTCCAAATCATGCACCTGGACCTGGCATTGTGCTGTCCCAGGAGTGGAACCTGGCATTTGCTCTGGTTACATTTTGTGCTGTTAATGGTTGTCCAGTGCTCCAGCCTGTCTGGATCCTTCTGCAAAGCCTCATGGCCCTTGAGAGAGTCACCAGTTCCTCCCAGTTTGGCGTTATGAGCAAAGTGTTACTGCTGCATTCAGCTCCTGCAGCCAGGTAAAAGTGTTAATGAAAATGTTGTCCAGAGCTGGCCCCAGGCTGAGCCAGAGGAATTGCCCTGGGGACTGGCATTCATCCTGCTCTGTCCCCTGTCTGTGATCCTCTGGTGGCTCTGTCACAGTGATTGCCAGGGTCACTGCCCATCATCAGCAGCACCCCGGGGTGCAGGAGGGGAGGATGCAGATCCAGGGCTGTCCCCTGGGGACTGGCATTCATCCTGCTGTGTCTCCTGTCTGTGATCCTCTGGTGACTCTGTCACAGTGATTGCCAGGGGAATCACTGCCCATCAGCAGCACCCCGGGGTGCAGGGGGAGGATGCAGATCCAGGGCTGTCCCCTGGGGACTGGCATTTATTCACCCTCCTGCTCTGTCCCCTGTCTGTGATCCTCTGGTGGCTCTGTCACAGTGATTGCCAGGGTCACTGCTGGTCAGCAGCACCCCGGGGTGCAGGAGGGAGGATGCAGATCCAGGGCTGTTCCCTGGGGACTGGCATTCATTCATCCTGCTCTGTCCCCTGTCTGTGATCCTCTGGTGACTGTCACAGTGATTGCCAGGGTCACTGCCCATCATCATCAGCACCCCGGGGTGCAGGAGGGGGGATGCAGATCCAGGGCTGTTCCCTGGGGACTGGCATTCATCCTGCTCTGTCCCCTGTCTGTGATCCTCTGGTGGCTCTGTCACAGTGATTGCCAGGGGAATCACTGCCCATCAGCAGCACCCCGGGGTGCAGGGGGAGGATGCAGATCCAGGGYTGTTCCCTGGGGAAAGGGCACAACAAACTGTGCTCAGTGTCCAGTTTGAGAGTGAGAATACGGGGCATGAGGAGCTGCTCCATCTGCCTATGGAGGGTCCAGGGATGGAAGTTTGGATAAGGAAGGAGGGACTGCACAAACAATGGTGATTTTGTTTCATCTGAAGCATTARTGGAAGTGTGGAGGAACAGAGGTGTCCGCGGAGAGGGAATGGACTGAGATCAGCCCAGACTTGCAGGGATGAGAAGCACAAGGAGCTGCCCAGGGGTCCCATCCCCAGGTTCAGTGGGTGATTTGTGGTTAAGCTGGCTCCTGTCTCCCTTGGCAGCCCGCAAGCTGCAGCAGCAGAGAGCCCTTCTGCTGGAGGAGGAAGCTGAGGAGGAGGAGGAGGTGAGGCAGGGGCCTGAGCTGCAGTCCAGCATCATCATCGAGGGCGTGGAGTACAAGGTGGAGAGGCTGAATGGAAGGAGCAGCCAGGCTCCAGCAGCTCGGTAAGAGGGGA